TACGTAGGTAAATAATAAGGGCTTCTTTTTAAAATAAGAATAACTTAGACTTGAGAAATAAGCACTGCCTTTGAACCTGATGTGTCTTGTTTGTAGCTTCTCGGGCCAAGCAACAGTGCTAGAGCATAAGGACTTGTTATAACTGGGGCTCTTCAGCTCTCAACTGAACTGCTCTTTTAAAAACAAGGTACATTTAAGTTACTCCCTGACACCAACCACCCCCTTCTCTCTGGGAGCAACACATTCCACTTCTGTTTTCAGCTGCATTGAATGGCAGATTGGGGTTTAAGAAAAGGAAGAACATACAGTGATTCTTCAGTGGCCATTTTCTGAAAGGCATTTGGTGTATCATTTTCTGTAGTCATGAAGATCTGAAATAATGCCACAAACTCAGAAGCTTGGAAGTGCAGCTATAAAATATTGTTTAAAAGATTGGTGAATAGCATACCTTGTTTTTGTTGTTTTGTTTGTGTTTTAAAATTAAACTAAAGCTAATCTTCTCCAACCCCCAAGATCTTCAAATTTTGACTAGATTTGCTTGTTTTGACTGGATGATTTCTGCTTTCTAATGCTTTTATTGTGTTGCAAGTTAAATATGCCAGAGAAATTCTTTTTGTTTTAAAGGGGCTTATTGGAAATTGTAAGGACCTAATGTAATAACTGTCCTGTGTCACTACTAAATGCTTACTTAGTGTTACAACCACAGGGCAGATCATCTTAAAGGTTTTGAACTTTTGTAGCCCTCATATTATGGCTTTGGTACTGTGGCGGGGCTTACTCTTTTACAATATTCCATCTCTAATAGTAAGAAAAAAGACGGGCATACTTGACTTGATTTTTGGGATTCAAGTATCATCACAATTGTGTCGAGTTTTGTGGTTTACTTATTAAGCATACAAAGAGCTGTTGCTAAAGATTGCTTTACTTGTGTCGTATATTTATCATTGCTTGAGGTATGTTTAATACATTTTTATAATGTTTTTCTTTAGATTGACCCTCTTGCTGGAATGGCATCTCTTAGTATAGGTGGTTCAGCTGCCCCTCACACCCAGAGTATGCAGGGTTTTCCTCCAAATTTGGGTTCTGCATTCAGTACCCCTCAGTCACCAGCGAAAGCATTTCCACCCCTTTCTACTCCAAATCAAACAACTGCATTCAGTGGTATCGGAGGACTTTCATCACAGCTTCCAGGTAAGGGGTGGGTGAGGACGCAAGTTATCTATAGTATTCACTGTGTGTTAGTTTGTGGTAAGGGTTTGGAGTGACTTGTGATAAGGAAAACCGCTTGAATTATAAAAGTTGGCTTCAACATCCATAGTTGGGAAGAGGAAAACATTATACTATTATAATATGCATTTGAATTGCAGTTAATATATTTTAGTTGTAAAGTTAGTTGAATTCAGTGAGGATTCTGTATTACCAAATGATAGTATAAATAGTGACAAATGTTTATAGGACACATTTTAAAGGACTTAGGCTTAGATCAAGAACTCACAGCTTTATGAATTACACAAGGTTGGTTTAATCAAGGTAGAAAATATTTCACACATCAGACTCAGGTGTATGTTCTGCTTTCTTTTACTTAACCTACCTTGGAAATTATAGTAAACTAGAGGCCCGATGCATGAAATTCGTGCAAGAGTTGGCCGCCTTCCCCCCGGTGCCAGCACTGGCTTCCCTCTGGCACCTGGGACCAACTTCCTCCGGGAGGTTGTGTGGAAGGACTTCTGGTCTAATTAGCATATTATGCTTTTATTATTATAGATTCTACAACTTTTCCAAGCTTTTAAAATTCTTAGTCTTTTAACTTTATATTGAAGTAAATGTTACATTTTTTCCCCTTCTTGGACCCACTTGTTTCTTTTCAGCTGTCTTCACCTTTTATCTTTCAGACTATAAGTTTAGAGTATTAAAACCTAAGGACTGAAATGTAATGATTGTAACCTAGTTAACACTGCTGCTATATGGTTCTAGCCCTGATTGTTCTTTCATTTAAAGCAAATTTACTCTATTTAGTAAGGCCTTAGCAAAGTCCTAGTTATTAGAATAATTTTGTTTGCTAGAGTTGTGGGAAATAAAAAAGTCCTGATGTATGCTAACTTAGCATGAAATTCTTCAGTTGTAATCATTGAGGAAAGTAAGTCAGTTCTTATTTTGGCTACCTTATATCTCATATCACATATGAGAGCATATAGTTAAATTTTTGCATTTTAATATGTTACCAAGAATATAAAGAAACGAATAATTCTAAATGCTAACTAAATTTTGGCAGTCTGTTTTTGTCTACTTTAACTAGTTTGGATTCTCTACAAAATTAAGTAGACATTATAAGATAATTAACAAAGACCTTGTTTTTTAAATAAGAACTTACATCTTTGATGTAAGTAAAGTCAAGAACATGAGTAATGATAAGACTTCTGGCTGCTTCGTTCTTTCTAGTAGGTGGTCTTGGCACAGGCAGCCTGACTGGTATAGGAACTGGGGCGCTTGGACTCCCTGCAGTGAATAACGACCCTTTTGTACAGAGGAAACTGGGCACCTCTGGACTGAACCAGCCTACATTCCAGCAGAGTAAGATGAAACCTTGTAAGTGGTAGTGTTGTCTGTGATTGTGAAGTGTGACTGAGGAACAAACTTTTACCGTATGTCCAATCTGTTGTCTGTAGTTCTATGGACAGAATATTGACTTCAGATACTTAGAGCCGTGTGTTGTGTCCTTCTTAGATCAGGAGGAGCAGATTCACGAATTTGAGTTACTAAAATGAAAATTTGATGTATCATTCTACCTTTGATCTGGATTGTCAGACAGAGTGAGGGTTCGCCTCCTTAGGGGTATTATCCTTAAAGTATGATGAATAATAAAGAGAAAAGTAAAATCTTATACTTAGATTTGACTAATATACTTATCCTAAGTTTTTTTGGTGTGGTTTTTTTTTTTTTTTTTTTTGGTTGTTTGTTTTATTGATTTCACAGAGAGGAAGGGAGAGGGAGAGAGACATAGAAACATCAAGGATGAAAGAGATTGATTGGCTGCCTCCTGCACAACCCTACTGGGGATTGAGCCTGCATGCAGGCATGTGCCCTGACCGGAAATCAAACCATGACCTCCTGGTTCATGGATTGATAGTCAACCACTGAGTCACACTGGCTGGGCAAGGTGGTGGTGTTTTTTTAACTAATCAAAAGCAGCCAGGAGGTTTTATTTCTATTTTAGCTTGGCAGTTCATAAAATAATTATTTTAATTTATTTTAAGGTTATCACTTTATGACATGTATATAACCTTATTATATTTAATAAAATAAATATTGCCGTATAATATACATGATGTAAAAAAAGTTTCGCCTCCTTAGTTATCCCAAAGTCAGAGAAGTCCTCTTTGTAAATACATAGGTATTATTGACTTAATATTCTTTTTGTGGTTGGGACTAAGTTTTCACTAGGTAAAATTTGACAGTATTTTAGTGTGAAAGGATTGTTTGAATGTTAATGTTTTGTAGCATGCTTTGTGTTTATATCAGTATGTCATGCACATGCATTGGTATTCTTAATATGTTAAATATGATTTTTATTATGAAGTAGTTCAGACTTGTTAACCTTGAGTGAGGTTGTATTAAGGGTAAATTCATTGTGAATTTGAACTTAGTGGTCCTTCATGGTGTAATTAAAGTCCTGATCAAGAAAATATTTAGAACCATAGTTGTAAGGCAGTTTTGTTAAAATCCTTTATGTGTACCTAGAGCAGCTGAGTATTAAAACTTGACCGCTTAAAACTTTATTCAGTTTATTTTTCCCCTTAAAATTAAAACTATATTGGTCTCTCTGGCTCTATATGTGTGTTATGGGGGAGTGAAGTGAGAGCCTAAATGCCCACTAGTTGCTTTTCTGTTTCTAACAGCGGACTTGTCTCAGGTGTGGCCAGAGGCAAATCAGCACTTTAGTAAAGAGATAGATGATGAAGCAAACAGCTATTTCCAGAGAATATATAATCACCCACCACATCCAACCATGTCTGTTGATGAGGTGAGTGTCTAGGATGATGAAAATCTTTATGGTCTAGGTAAATCTTAAATGCCCCTTGCAAAGCTTTTAGAAATCCAGCCCAAAGTGTGTTATGTCTGTGCATCATTTAAAATCTTAGCCTTTATCTTAAGCTCAGTTTATTGTGAAATAATTATGCTTAATCTATTAACGGTGTTTTAGGGAGGCTCTTAATAATAGTTTCCTTTATGTGTGTATTGTTTTGTCTTGCCTTTTCCAGGTATTAGAAATGCTACAGAGGTTTAAAGACTCTACCATAAAGAGGGAACGAGAAGTATTTAATTGTATGCTAAGGAACTTGTTTGAAGAATATCGTTTTTTCCCCCAGTACCCTGATAAAGAGTTACATATAACAGCCTGCCTGTTTGGTGGGATAATTGAAAAAGGACTGGTCACTTATATGGCACTAGGCCTGGCCCTGCGATATGTTCTTGAAGCCTTACGCAAGCCTTTTGGATCCAAAATGTATTATTTTGGGATTGCTGCACTAGATAGATTTAAAAATAGGTAAGTGGATAGGTTTCTTATGAAACTTTTAAATATAGGAGAAATAATAACTATCATTTATCAACTAATTCTTGCCAAGTCCCATTATTATACACATGTTAACTAATCTTAATGACTGTGATGCAGATGAGGAAGAAGTGAAAACAATTAATTACACCTATCAAATAAGTGGTAAGAACAGTATAAAATGAAATTGCAGGGGGAGATTATTTATTGAGGTATAGTTTTTGCACAGTGAAAGTCACCATTTTAGGCGCACAGTTCTTTGAATTTTGACAAATTTCTATAATTGTGTAACTATCACAATCAAGATACTGAATGTATCCATCATCCCTAAGAAGTTCTCTTGTTTTCCCATTGTAGTCCACTGATTTGGTCTAGTTTTTTCAGATTGTTATTTGAATTGAACCAAGCACAATGTGTATGAGCCTGACTTCTTGCGTTTAGCATGGTACTTTTGAAATTCATCCATGTTTCTGCATGCTTCAGTAGGGTTTCTTTTGTTGCTAACTACTATCCTGTTGTATGGATCAACTACAAATTGGTTTTTGTTCACCTGTTAATGAACTTTGAGGTTGTTTCCACATAGTAGTTTTAGTGGCTTATTGTAATCAATTTTAAGTAAAATATGACCTTTTAAAACACATAGTTCTCTGATGTAAAAGGAGGTGAAGTTTATAAATATTTTCCCCCTTCTGTATTCTTCCCTTTGGCATTCTCTTCAAGTAAGGTTGTTCACAGGCAGAATGGGAGAAATGGCCTAGATTAGCATTGGGAAGAAAGTTTTTGTTAATTGTGCTGCCTCTGTTCTTACATGAAATAGTGAATAAATGTTTTTGTTGGCAGATTGAAGGACTATCCCCAGTATTGTCAGCACTTGGCTTCTATCAGTCACTTTATGCAATTTCCACATCATTTACAGGAGGTAAGCATCTTCCATACTTGAAACCTTTCTAGTAGTTGGAGGGTTTGCATATTTTAGTTTGATTTTGGATGTTGGAAATGGCATTAAGATTTCTTAAGGAGCTGCATACTATAGGTATACGTATTATTTGTTGCTTATGTTGCAGCTTAATAGTAGATTGTGAAAAAATTGCATTCTTGATCTTTTCTAAGCAGTGGTTTTGCTTGATTTAATAAAAGGCTTTTACCAGTCTGTTAGCCTGATAATTCTTCGAAGAATAGACAACTTATACTATTTTTCTTTTAAATATATTTTATTGATTTTTTTACAGAGAGGAAGGGAGAGAGATAGAGAGCCAGAAACATCGATGAGAAAGAAACATCGATCAGCTGCCTCCTGCATACCTCCCACTGGGGATGTACCCGCAACCCAGGCACATGCCCTTGACCGGAATCGAACCTGGGGCCCTTCAGTCCGCAGGCCGACGCTCTATCCACTGAGCCAAACCGGTTTCGGCTACTAGATTACGAAGAGAAACTTTGTTGGGTTTTAAAAAGGATTTGGAATTGTAATCTTGGATAAAAATATGAAAAGTTGTTTATCTGATTTAAGTATGATTCAAAGCTGTTTCATGTAGGACTTAAACCAGTGTTTCTTCAAAATACAGCCTTCTTACCACCTGCTTTGATTCCTTTGAGGTACTTAAAAAGGAGGCAGTCCCTGAGGAAAAGGACCTAGCAGCGGTTCTCAACCTGTGGGCCGCGACCATCGGAAAACACATATAACACATCAGATATTTACATGACGATTCATAACAGTAGCAAAATTACAGTTATGAAGTAGCAACGAAAATAATTTTATGGTTGGGGGTCACCACAACATGAGAAACTGTATGAAAGGGTCGCGGCATTAGGAAGGTCGAGAACCACTGACAAAGAATATACATTTTAAGTCATCTTATGTGACTCTTCTTGAAATTTCTAAACCACTGTTTCAGTGATTGATTTTTAGTTGTCTTGCCTTTCGTCAAATTCAACTTACAGAGCACAAGAAAGTTGATTAATGTTATTTTACACAAAGCAGGTAAATGGCTTTATAAGATTATATTTTAAGGAATCAGATCAGAATTTGAACCTACTATTATTTCTATACTAGAGACCCAATGCACGAAATTCGTGCCTGGGTAGGGTCCCTAGGTCTGGCCGGCGATCAGGGCCGATCTGTGGGGCGACCAGCGGGGCGATTGGGAGGCCCCCGCTGGCACCCACCTTGGCTGGCCTGGGGCCTGCGGGCTGGGGGCAGCTCCTGTGTTGAGTGTCTGCCCCCTAGTGGTCAGTGCGCGTCATAGCAACTGGTTGTTCTGTGGTTCAGTTGATTTGCATATTAGGCTTTTAATATATAGGATTATAATTTAATCTAGTAGTCTAGTCCCATCTGCCAAACTCATCCCAATGGGTTTGTTTGTAGGAGGGCAGGATTATTGTGATGGCTTAACCTAGGAGATCCATGGAGAGAGGGAGGCAGGAGTGTATTCATTCACAGGAGATTGGGATGAATGCCAAAACTGTAGTACTGAAAAATGTAGAGGACAACAGAGTTTTGAAAAGCAAGGATGTGAGGTCAGAGGATTACCGCAATCAAATGTGTTTGGAATTAAGAGGCAGGAATATGGATCTTGGAAGACTGGCGCTCAAGAGAGGTGGCATGGAAGTGATCACACAGAACAGTGGTTTCTGGTACCCACCATAGCAAGAGAGCCAGAGGAGGGGGAGAGGTCATTGTTCGTATTTCTGTACTTTTCAAATATGTGGATAGTAGTTTTGGTTTTGTTAGAAATAGACTGTTGGAAATAGTATCAAGAACCCTATGTCAGTCCTCCCTATGTCAGCCCTCTAAATGAAGGGGAGCAGGGAACCACCAAACCAGTCCTAGGACATCCATCCAGTATCATTGCTTACTCTCTAGTCAGCTTGGCAGTATGTAGTGTGTTTTTGTTTTGTAGTTATAGCTTACAGAATGGTAACTCACATTGTAGTGTGTATTTTAGGCCTTAGGTTTCTCACCAGCATCCAATAAAAAGATCAGTCTGTTATATAAATATAAGTAAATGTTAAAGGGATTTAAAGAAATTCATATGCAGGTGCTGTGGCTGCCTTCTTTATTTTGCTGGGCTAATTATTTTATAAATATTTTACCCATAGAGTCTGGTATATACACATAAGTGTATATATATTTGGGACTATGGTTCAAGGAGTAAGGGGGATAGATGAACCAAAAGAGTACTCTAATGACTTCTAGTCTCTCAGAAATAAGGGGAGTGTAATTTAAAAAAAATTTCTTTTGAGAACTCTTTTCATGTGTTTTCCTCTCTCTACCCGTATAGTATATCGAGTATGGACAGCAATCGAGAGATCCTCCTGTGAAAATGCAGGGCTCTATCACAACGCCTGGAAGTATTGCACTGGCTCAGGCCCAGGCTCAGGCCCAGGTTCCCACAAAAGCACCTCTTGCTGGGCAGGTTAGCACTATGGTAACCACCTCAACAACCACTACTGTTGCAAAAACGGTTACAGTCACCAGGCCTACTGGAGTCAGCTTTAAGAAAGATGTGCCAGTAAGTAGGTCTATCTTTTTTCTCTTCCAAGATTTATGTTGTAATATACACATTAGTGAGCATGTATTTTAATATTATAAACACATGCCTACAAAAAAGGTGAAGACCAGCATTTCTCCCTTTGTATCTCCCCCAGATTTTCCAGAGGCAGCCACTATCAATAATTTGATATATATTCTTGCCAACTTCAGTGCACAATCATATACATCTGTACTTTTTATACTAAAGGAATTTGTGTACATTTTTTTCCTGGGATTTGTCAACTAAGCATTTTAATCTGTTTATGTACTTTATTTCTTTAGCCTTCTATTAATACTACAAATATAGATACATTGCTTGTGGCCACAGATCAAACTGAAAGAATTGTAGAGCCCCCCGAAAATGTCCAAGAGAAAATTGCTTTTATCTTCAACAATCTCTCACAGTCGAATATGACACAAAAGGTGAGCATGATGTAATAGTTTACATATCACTGCAGATGCTCTCTATTGGTATCCCTAATGGGTTAGCGATTTATATGTCACACTCTGCATCCTTCTTTTAATATTCACTTAACTTTAAAGGTAGAGGTAATAGAATCAAAACAAAGGGAAGGTGGGTACATAACTAGTGTTTGTGGTTTTGTAAACGTTAAAGAGAACTAGTTTTAAATGTATTTTTTTGCAGTGAGTTACAGGCATTTAAAAATAAACTTCATGATCTCATGATGGTGGAAGGTTTTTTTGTACTTCTAGTCACAACTCATGTCCCTCCCAGAGACTATTCAGAGCATTTATTAGGACTCTAATAACAGGTAGCCCTTGTGAAAAGCATAAGGAATGATGCTTCCCTTACAGGATTATATGCTAAGACAATACTTAGAAATGCCTCTTTTAGCCAGTAGGATTAGACTAAACAAGTGGGTTTGTGATATATGCAAGTACTATCTTTTAAAATCCCACCATACCTTTTTGGAAAAGTATCAGATTTCACAGATGATACCTGGAGATGGAAATATAGGAAAACATAGTTCTGGTGTTAGGTCTTTTAATGGCAGGTTGTAGATTAGTAATTTATCCTCTTGGTCAAATGGAGAGTTGGGTAAGATGTGGATGAGGGACTACATGTTTTATAATTTGAAGTTGAAAGCTACCATAGATGTTTGTCCTAATCACCCACAGTTTATGGAATTGAACACACTGTACATCATAGCATCTGTCTGATGTGGGGGAGAGATGTAGCATAGTGATTTGATTTAGCACATAATTTTGCAAGGAGCCATATGCTATAGTACTATTCTCAGAAACAAAACACATAACCGTATTTTATCATCTGTTAATTATATATTTTCTGTGTCATTCGTTGGCTAGGTTGAAGAACTAAAGGAAACAGTGAAGGAAGAATTCATGCCTTGGGTTTCACAATACCTGGTTATGAAGAGAGTCAGTATTGAGCCAAACTTTCACAGCCTGTATTCAAACTTCCTTGACACACTGAAGAATCCTGAATTTAATAAGATGGTTCTAACTGAGACCTACAGAAACATCAAAGTAAGTTCTTGTACTTCTGTTCTTTTTCTGTTTTGATTATGGAAATAATTGATTGTACAGGCAGAATTTGGAGGGGGCGGAGGGGGGGTGTTGCTATTTTTATACATGTCTATGAAATTTGCTCTAGCATTTGCTTCAAATATAGAACTAAATTTAATGAAGAATTTAGTGTTACAGACACACTCTGTGTACTTCGAAAGTAACTACTATTCTGAGTTTGTTTTCGTTATTCATGTTTTTCTTTATCCTCTGAATGTTTTTAACTTGCTCCCCCAAACCCCCATATTTACAATATGCTCTTAGCTGTAGTCCCTTTGTTTTGTTTTTTAATAGTCGTAATAGAAATTCATTGTATGGGTATATGGTTATTTAGGTTGTTAACTTTCACTATCACACAAACAGTGTTGCAGTGAATGTTTTTCTTTATGTCTTAAGTGCCAGATATCTCTCAACTCTACACCTGTTTGTGCACTATTTGCTGTTTAGGATTCTCAGCAGTTTATTTTAAGGTCAAGCTCTTCTGAAGTAAATGCTTATTCCATAAAATTCAAGTATTTTACTTCTTAGGGGGAATAACTTTTCGAATACACAGCATGAACCAGCATACATCTATGATCATCCTTTGTTGAATAACTTGGGACATTAGCTGAGGAGCCGGCACTATATTTAAACCTGTGTATGGGAATTCTCCCCATTCTAGGTTACGCTGTAGTGCAAAAGAATTCCTGGCTCTTTTCTGTTGCACAGCTGACATTATGCCATTCTGCTGTTGCTGGATGGAGTTAAGGAACATAACTATATTTAGCCTTTATTATCTGATAGTAAGAATGGTTGGGATATATGAAAACTTCCACACACTTGAAAGCAAAATCTCAGGATACTTTCAAACAGAATTTTAAATTATAAATTTTAATTTATGTGATGGTTCTGTCCCCCTTATGAGAAAAAGAGCTAGAAAATCAGTGGAATGGATTTGAGTTTTCTAGAAATTTGCCAAGAAGTGTATATGCCATATTATACTGTATTTTAGAAAGTTATCTTGTTTCCAGAGATGTACAGCAATCTGGAAAATGCTACAATTTGCAATAGAGATTGTGATCTTGGTCACATTTCTCCATATGTCTGTCATCTTGAAGGACTTAAAAGCATGGACCGTCATCTTTTTTTTTTTTTTTTAGAGTGTTCATTTGAATTGCAGTTGGATCTCTGCTTCAGGCTACCTAACATTTTTAGAGTTTTAAAATACTTTTCTGTGGGAGCATACATCACACTTTTAACCTTGTGTATACTTGTATTTTGTGTGATATAGTTTTATTACCTATTAAAAATAAAATGTAAAGAAAGGCATGAAAAGGTAAAAAGGACACTGAACACAACAAAATAGTGCTATGATAGTATGAAGTAGATCTACTTTGGGGGCATGGTCTCATAATTGGTGACTTGAGGTTTTTTATTATTATTTTTTCGCCATCACCATTTATCTCCTCTATGCCCTCTTCAAACCCCTCCTCCCCCCATCACCATACTATGTCCATGATTGATGGCTTGTTTTTAAGATAGAATAATGGAATTCTCAAACATTTATTTGAGTTTTTTTTTTTTCCCCCATAAGCTCATTTTCATATCTTTCTTAATT